TTAGCATGAGTGATATGGATGTGAGAATATAATGTGGGGGAGGTGAAGACTGAACTTGACGGCATTCTTTGAATCGCCAAACTCGTTGGTCAAGCAGATCTGACGGAATTGGATGACGGCGTGTTGTTTAGAACTGGAAGGATGGTCCAAGGGGATATCGACGACGATTCGGTCCCTTCCGAAGAGATAAGCGGATTGGCGATGGATGTGGAACAGATCGAGCTGCTCTTTGCCCTTGAAGACGTACAGTCTCCAGTTCTTGTTGGTCGGCTTCCGAGCTTCCGGGGGCTCGTGGTACTTCAGAACGACACCCTTGAAAGTCTTCGTCTCGGCTGCTAGCTTCCCAGACGGGTTGAAGTTCGGCTCATCTTTCTGTTCTGATAACTCTTCTCCTTCTTCGTCCTCAAGTATTTTAGATTTCGATTTGAGCTCGAGTTGCTGATTTGATGATCTTTGTTCAGACGTTGAGGTAGTTGCAATGTTTGATGAGGGGTCTTCTTGAGACACTAGATTACGGCGATCTTGGGCTGTCTTTGCGATGAGGTTTGATTGTGTTGGGGACCTTGAGCGAGAGCGCTGTCGATGATATTGTTGCGGTCTTGAGTTGTCTTGTGAAGCGATTGGCGAACGTGACCTGCGTCGGGATGGATAGTTGGGAGACCTTGAACGAGACCGATACCGTCTTGGTTCCTCCTGCCTTGTAGCATCTCTTTCGTTTCTTGGTCTGCGCGGTGGCTTGGTCGTGTCTTCTGCGTTCCATTTGCTACTCCGACCTTGCGAACGCACACTCGAGCCAGTTTCGCGATCGGGCCGATCTCTGTCGTATGCTTTCTCGTAACGCGAACTCATTCGTCCTGCTTTGTTTTGTTCAGTCCTTCGTTTTCCTGATCAAGAGCGTGAAGTCCTTCGAAGTGGGTTGAAGTTGTGTGTTGGGCTCGATTACGGATTCGAAAGTTGAGCTGACTCAATCCCAAACTTAAAACATTTCAGATTTGCACGATCAGACAGCTGGGATATGTAACTTAGGACTGCTGTCGAGAATCTGTAGACCTGCAGATCTGGCT